TATATATATATTATATATTGTGTTTTTAACAATTTTAGAAACCCAGTCCACACATTCATGGGTGGTTTAAAATCCGATTCAAATCAGATAGTTTCCCTTAAATTAATATAAAATTGAATTAATGTGTGATTACAGTTGTGTACCTACAGGCTTGAAGCTTTGAATGTGGCTCATTCAAACAGAATTGAGATCATAATCATAATTAGTTTTTGTTTTTAAACTCTGTTATTACATAATCTGCATCAGTTTTTGCACTGACGGATTTATTTATGAATAATCTGGCCATTTGGTTTGGTATCCATCAAATTCAGAATAATAAGAAAGAAATGTTATTCAAAAGTTGTTTGTTTTTGAAAGAAATTAGTACTTTTATTCAACAAAGAAGCATAAAAAATGTATCATGGTTTCCATAAAAATATTAAGCAGCACAACTGTATGCAACATTAGTAATAAGAAATGTTTCAGCAGAAAATCAGCATATTTGAATGATTTCTGATGGATCGTGTGACACTGAAGACTGCCTGCTGAAAATTCCGCTTTGCATTACAAGAATAATTTATATATAAAAATAAAAAAATTTGAAATTGTAATAATATTTAACAGTTTTACTGTATTTTTGATTCAATAAATACAGCCTTGGTAAGCATAAGAGACTTCAGAACATTAAAACATCTTATCGCCCCCAAACTTTTTAACAGTAATGTAAATATAAACCGATTTTTCATAACTGCCATTGCAGTGATATACTGTAAAATCCCTCATATCATGATGTCAGAATATGAAACTTAAACTGCATGTCATTCTGCATTAGTAAATTAAATATAAAGTGGCACCTGAAAATGGGTGTGCACTTACAAGACACAACATGTTTAAATGCGTAAAATACAGCAATGTCTACAATGAATCCGTCCTCCATTGTCACACTGACAGCAACTCGGTGTGGAAGAAAACAACTCAGATGAAGTCATTACTATAGCAACTGATGTGGATGAGCTGGATATAAAGTGCATTGAACAAATGGATCCAATTGCATTGCGTGAAAAATGACAGTCAATCCTAAAGAATCAAATAAATTCAAAACAAAGATTTGTTTTTATGAATTAATTCCATGTCTGTCTTCATGCAGGATATATTCTGCAATACTCAGAGGACAACAGTGAGAAGTGGGGAAGTATTTCCATTAGTCCTAGCGAGCGTTCCTACCGTCTGGAGAACCTCAACTGTGGCACCTGGTACAAGTTCACGCTAACGGCTCAGAATGCTGTTGGTCCAGGCCGAATAAGTGAGATAATTGAAGCAAAGACTCATGGGAAAGGTGTGCATTTTGTTCTGTAAACCCAATTTCTCAAATAGTTGTAAGTAATTGTTCAAAGTAGTGATCACAAACACCCTTCTTGTTCTCCTTCATCGTCTTCACCCATCACAGAGCCACAGTTCTCCAAAGAGCAGGAGCTGTTTAATAGCATTAACGGAACATGTGTCAAACTCAACCTGATTGGCTGGAATGATGGCGGTTGTCCAATCACCTCCTTCACTCTGGAATACCGTCAATTGGACAGCCCTGTGTGGACCAAAGTGAAGTGCACGTCTCTTACGAAGAGCTTAAACCTCCAGGACCTGCAGGAAGCCACTTGGTACGAATTGCAGATGAAGGTGTACAACACCGCAGGGTTGGCTGAGAAGCGTGTCAAATTTGCTACTTTGAACTACGACGGCAGTAAGCGAAGTTTGATGGATCACCTTTACAATAAATTTGAATTATTTGTTTGCACTTTAAAATATTAAATGTGTTTTCAAAAGGCACCATTCCTCCGCTGGTGAAGACGGCGGTGAAGGACCCGGTGAAGAAAACCAGCAACGAGGGGATGAAGATGATGGTGACGATCTCTTGCATTTTGGTGGGAATGGTGCTGCTCTTCGTCCTGCTGATGGTGCTGAGGAGGAGGAGGAGAGAGCAGAGGCTGAAGCGGCTCAGGGGTCAGATGGTTTTCACAGCTCTTAGCTACAGATCAGAGCGTTTTCAAAGAGAAGGTGTAGATTCGTAGGCGTAAATACAGACAGCATATGTTACCATTTGAGATTTTACTCCTATCAGCCTTATTTTTCATGACTCGATAGTAGTTCCATTTTCAGTGTATGTTACTAAAGCTTATTGTTTTTTCCACAGATGCAAAGAGTTTGGCTGAAATGCTTATGAGGTAAACATGATGATTTTCAGTTTCGTTTTTTTAAAGCATAAACACCCCAAAATTCTAATTTTGTCATTTATTCGCCCTCATTTCATTCCAAAACTATATAATCTTTTTTCGTCTATGCAATAGAAAATAAGATATTTTGAATAATCTCTGAGCTGCTCTTTTCCACTCAGTGAGAGCATAATGATCCAAAATGACTAAAAGCATCATAAAAGTAGTTCATACGAGCCACTGTTCCAAATCTGCTGAAGCCATACAATAGAATCAGTGTTTTGAACCGATTCATTGTAACTGTTCCAAAGCATAATATGCACAAATGGATCAAACTTAAGTGAAACAAACTCAACACTCATAATATTTAGATTTTTTTGCACCCTCAGATTCCAGATTTTCAAATAGTTGTATCTCAGCCAAATATTGTCCTTTCAACAACAAACCATACATCAGTGGAAAGCTAATTCATTCAGCTTTCAGATGATGCATAAATCTCAATTTCGAAAAATTTACCCTTATGACTGGTTTTGTGGTCCAGGGTCACACATAATCTTCTGAAGCAAAACAACAGAATCAGTTTCTTTGAACAGATTCATTGTAATGGACAGTTCATGCACAAATGAATCAAACTCTCTCAGCACTGTATTAAAAAGCAAGCACCAATAGTTCATACAACTCACTATATTCCAGATCTTCTTAAACAAATCACTAGAATCAATTTCTCTGAACAGATTGACTGTAATAGACACTTCTAAAGAATATTATGCACAAATGAATCAAACTCTATCAGCATTTTGTTTAAAATCACCATCAAATAGTTCATTTTCCAGAACTGTCTGTAATAGATATAATTATGCACAAATGTATCTAACGTCAATTAATCAAACTCTTTTAGCATTTTATTAAAAAGCATCAAGTAGGTCATATGACTCACTATATTCCAAATCTTCTGTCATTCCAAATCTTCTGAATCAGTTTCCATGAGCAGATTCACTATAATAGACAGTTATAAAGAATATTCTGCACAAACTAATCAAATTCTATCAGCATTTTATTACAAAGCACCATCAAGGTGTTCATACGACTCGCTATATTCCAAATCTTCGGAAGCAAAGCAATAGAATCAGCTTTTTGAACAGATTCACTGTAACAGACAGTTCTAAAGAACATTATGGAGAATTGAATCAATAATAAACAGATTTGTGTAATAAATAAACCACAAAAGGCTGTTGCTTCAGAAGATTTTATGGATTTAGGATGCTTTTACATTGACTTTTTTGTTTGACAGTCCTTGGTTGCCATATTCTTACATTATATTGAAACTGCAGCTGCGAAATTCTTTAAAATATCTTATTTTGTGTTCCACAGAGGAAAAAAATCATATAGGTGGGTGAGCAAATAATGAACTTTTCCTTTGATGGCTCACATGTCATGCTGACTTTGTATAAGCGGATATGTTATTCTCAGGCTTGTTGTGTTCTTCTCCAGTAAGAATACAAGGCCTTCAGATACCATGAACAAACAACAGCAGACCCTCCGCATGCACATCGACATTCCCCGAGCGCAGCTGCTCATCGAAGAGAGAGACACCATGGAAACAGTGGGTGAGTAACAACCTAAACATTTGTCTGAGCAACAATGATACTATAGGGATCTCTAATAGTTCCATCTCTCCCTTCCCTGTTAGACGACAGATCAACAGTGCTACTGACGGATAACGATTTCGGAGAAACTGCCAAACAGAAGTCTGCTACCGTTACGCACTCTGTCCACTATCAGTCTCTATCGCAGGCCACAGGCCCGCTGGTGGACGTCTCTGACGTCCGACCTGGGACGAGCAAGAGCAGTCTGTCGAGTAAGAAAGAAACTTCTTAACACATAAATAATAGAGTGGCTATTTGATCATACTGTTTAACCGAGCATTTCGGAACCATCCCCAGATCCCACTTCTCGCCGTACAGCTAAAGCTGGTCCTGCAGCCCGTAACCGCTATGCCAGTCAGTGGACGCTGAATCGTCCCCACCCTCCTGTCTCCGTCCACACTCTAAGCACGGACTGGAGGCTGGGAACACCCAGAGTGGCCGGTTCAGTGGACAAAGAAAGCGACAGCTATAGTGTCAGTCCATCACAGGACACAGGTTAGTCTGCTACACTAACAACCAGCCTACACTGTATGTACAGCTTGAGCTTTTGTTAGGTTCTTTTTTTGTTGGCTTGACGCGTCATTACAGCTGGGTACTAAAATTATCTTATCAGCCTTTTTACAATATTTAGTATATTTCTTAATATTTATGTGCTTGCTGTTTAAAAAAAAACACAATAAAGAATGGTATTTAATTTTTTATGCATGAATATAAAACTACAAAGAAATAAACAGTAATGTTTACATACTTAAACCACTTTAAAGCACATAAATGGCATGCAGGAACATCCATGAAATTTATGGACTCAATCGAATCATTCAATAAATTCTGAACATATTTATTGTAACAGGCAATTCTATAGAATATTATGTGGAAAATTAATCAAACTTCAGTAGTCTATCAGCATTTTATTAAAATACAATACTGTTCAAGCGTTTGGGGTCAGTAAGATTTTTATTTTATTTTTTTTAAGAAATTAATACTTTCAGGATATTTTTATTTAATTTTATTTGTATTACTATTTTTTTTGTACTTTATATTCATCAAAGAATCCTAAAAACAATGCATCATGTTTTTCACAAAAATAATAAGAAATGTTTCTTGAGCACCAAATCTCATTATATTAGAAGGATTTCTAAAGGATCATGTGACACTGAAGAGTTATTTCTGCTTTTCCATCATAGGAATAAATTACATTTTAAAATATATTAAAATAGAAAACAATTATTTTCAATTGCAACAATATTTCACAATATTACTGTTATATATTTAATCAAATAAATGCAGCCTTGGTGAACATAAGAGATGTCTTTCAAAAACATTTTTTAAAAAATCTAATTATTTATTCTCAAAAGATACTCAATGGCCAAATAATAAAAATAATTTTAAATGATCACAAAATTTACAGTGTCAATTTTTTTTATGAGCAATAAAATCATATCAAGTATCATATCAAAGCTAATACATGCTAGAAGTTCCTATAGTTAATGATGAGTTCTGACCTGCTGTGTTCAGACCGCGCTCGCAGCAGCATGGTCTCCACCGAGAGCGCGTCTTCGACGTATGAGGAGCTGGCCAGAGCCTATGAACATGCCAAGATGGAGGAACAGCTACGACACGCCAAGTTCACCATCACAGAGTGCTTCATCTCAGACACATCCTCCGAGCAGATGACCGCAGGCACCAACGATTACACGGATAGTCTGACCTCCAGTACACCGTCAGAATCAGGCATCTGCAGGTTCACTGCCTCACCACCCAAACCCCAGGACGTCTGCAGGGTGATAAACATGGCCGTACCCAAGGCCCACAGACCAGGTGAGACTGCTGGTGGGAAGTAATGACTCTAAACTCAATTTCAGCCAATTGGAGCTGTTCTTAATAACCTTGAGTTAATATTTAAAAAGCTGGTGGAGCTATTTTCAGGAATTATATGCATTCTAAAGATGAGGTCACATTTTTTCAGCAAGTTTTTGTTTTTGTTTTTTTGGGGCAAAATCCAGTCATTCCAAAAGGAATTCACAAAAGCAATCTGGAATTTTGTGTTAATGCGAATGATTTTCCAATTTCGCAACTGTTACAAATTGGTTGCCACTTAACCAACAGAAAGCAGCTTGGTTTGAAAGTGACTTCTTTGTGAGCTGTGCTGAATACTTCCTAAATTATTGATAATGGATCTTTCTCCCCCACAAAATTTCACTAATTTGACAGCACATAAAGCCTAAATTATGCTGCCTTCTAAGATTCAGCCAAAATCTAAGGCAGAAATGCATGTATCCTTTGTGGATGAGGCAATTCCAGAATGGATTGTGATATTGATTAAAAAAAAAGAAACATAGCTCAATCTCATTAAAATGTCAGTTTTACACAATATTTCTGTGCGCTTTTAAAATGTTTAGAGTATTACATTCTTAGATTAGCAAAATTCTAATATCAAACTCCATTCAAAGTCAGTTGTGAATAGAGTTTCTCAGAATGCTTCATGAGAAGAGCGTGCTCATCTTGTAATTTGACCCAATCGTGCTGGGGAAAAAAAACAGCATAAGCCTTAGCTGGTCCCCCAGTCTGGTTTGGATGGTCTGCTGGCTGGTTTGGGAATGGTCTTTTTAGCTGGTCAGGCTGGGAGACCAGCTAAACCAGGTAAACAGAATCTTGGCTAGACTCAGAGACCAGGTTAAACCATCCGTCCTTCGGATGAGACATTAAACCGAGGTCCTGATTCTCTGTGGTCATTAAAAATCCCAGGATGTCAAATTCGCCCATTGGCCTCTGATCATCATGGCTTCCTAACAATCCCCATATCTACTGATTGGCTTCATCACTCTGTCTCCTCTCCACCAGTAAGCTGGTGTGTGGTGGGCGTTCTGGCGCACTATGGCTGCCGTCGCATCATCCAGGTGGATGCTGCACACTGGTGGTGGATGAGGAGATACCCCCTGACAATATAAAGCGCTTTGAGTGCCTAGAAAAGCGCTATATAAATGTAATTAATTATTATTATTATTATTATTATTATTATTATTATTATTATCTAAGACCGGCTAACCAGCTGGTTAAAGCCTATTTTTTGCAGGGAAAAAATTAGGTGCTCATGCTGCAAGATGCTAAAAAACATTAATGCCGAGTTCACACTGCACAATTTTAGCCCGATTTTTCACTCGCCGACAGGTTTTGCGAAATCACCGACAAATACCCAAAATCGGAGGCAAATCGGTGCTCGTTCACGTGAGTGACAATCACGCAGTGTGAATTATCAAAGATGCGATCTGAGGGAATCGCCGACGCCCGTGAAATATTTGGCATGCTAAATATCTGGAGCTGTCGGCGATTCACAATCACGCTGTGTGCAATGAGTTCTGACTGAAAATTACATCGGCAATGACCTACAGCCAATGAGAGACCAAGATACAGGGCAGCGGGAAGTTCGGGGAGGAATTATATGAAATGTAGTTTGCGGACCAGTGTTGCCAAATCCGCGATTGCCGCCGGTTGTTTTTTATGTCAGCAGGTTGAAGCGACCCCAATAACGTGATATTTAGGCCCTGGAATGTGAATTGTACCAGGAGAACCCCACCAAAAAAAAAATTATTTTACCCCCGAAAGCGATTTTTACTGGGGGACCCCCTCGAAAGCAATTGGGCTATTTTCAGGCTAGTTTTCAGTAGTAATTGGGCAGGTTTTGTAGCAAAAAACCTGGCAACCCTGCACCAGACAGAGCTGTCGGCGATTCTTCCTATTGTAAAGTCATACAGTGTGTAACCTTCTGTCGTCAACAACTGAATGCTACCCCAGATAGTCGTTCAGTGTGAAACTAACAGTGATGCGACGTCTTTGAAAATCATGCAGTGTGAACTCAGCATAACACTGCATCCGAATATGCCTACTTCCATACTATATAGCATGTGGAAAACAATACGGCCGAAAAACAGCATGTCAGAATTCATACTACTCAAAATTGGTAGGCAGAAAGTACCTTGATGAACTGCTACTTCTGCCAAGAGTGCGCATTCGATGGACAATTTACTATCCCATGAAGCCACGAGAGAGGAGTTGCGATTGGCAGTGAAATGATGCAACTGACGCTGGTAGGATGCATGGTAACATGGTGGATGTAGTACGCTCAAATTTCATTCACACTACCCATGTTTATACTATATAGAACATACTTTTTTAACAGTTGCGAGTTGAATTGCCATGCTGACAAAGTCTTTTTCTTTATCCTGCAGGAGGGGAGCTCGTACACCTGCCTCCATACCTGCGGATGGACTTCCTTTTGAACCGGGGTGTGTCGGGAGCGTCTCGGGAGGTGGCGATGGGCCAGGCCTGTTTGGAGCCGCAGAAGACTCGCTCGCTGAAGCGTCCCGCCTTGCTGGAGCCGACGCCCATGGAGGTGCCGACCAGCAGGGACGTGCAGCAGTGGCAGCCGGGCACAGCCTTGACACTTCCGCAGAGAGAGGCCGGAACGGACTTGGCACAGGCTGCCAAAATCAGCACCTCCCAGGAATCACTGCTGGACTCCAGAGGACACGTAAAACAGAGCAACAATCCCTACACAAAGTCCTACACACTGGTATAACAAAGATCGGACAAAAATAAACCATCAAGAGCAAAAAGCGAACTCTTCATGCGCGGTTGTATATATGTTTCCACTTCTACTCCTAACAGTTTCTTTATTTTATGCTTTTTTAAACAGTGAATTCACTTCTTAAAGAGAACTCCACACACCCAGAGATTGCCAAAATGATTTTATTATTATTAATATTAATTATGATGACTATGATGATTTACTGATTCACTTATTTTAGCAGTTAGTGTGCACCAACTAATGAATGGGAATCCATTTTAATTTTTTTTTACTAACATTTCTTTGTGTAATTAGTTTGAGATAAAGCGTGAGAGTGATTTCCATTGGTCCAAAGTTGTCACCATTCTGTTTCGAAGAAATCCTGGGAGTGCATGAGGACGAACCAATTTAAGATGAAGATGACAGTATGAATAACGACCGCTGGAGGGTCCAGCCCAGAATTTTTTTTGACTACAAAAATATTAAAATGTGAAGATTTCGTATTCTTACGAGTATAAATATATAAAAAAATATATATATATAAAATGAGAAATCACTTTTATTTGTGGGTATTACAGGGAAAATTTTTGATTTGGTTAATAAAGTCCTTTAGTCATGTTTGCACATATCTTGTTTAACCTAGAAAAGCCAGTTCTGACTGATGATTATTTGTGTTCCATCCTCTAATGTTGCAATATGAAAATCCATGAACCACGTTTGCTTTCTACTGTACTGTACCTCGCCCATGACGTGAGCTGAGAGCCAGAGCGAATAAAAAGACAGATTCAGGTGTAAATCAGCTGCAGTGGAAGCAAAGGTTGATTTAACCTGATGCATGGGGGGGGGACCGGACCACCTACTGCACTGACAGTGTGGCTCTTTCACCTCCTAAGTGTAGTGCACTAGAAAGGTGTCTTCAGGGCACGCTCTCTCTTCATTAGATTTATTTTTGCTGCACTACAGGGAAACTAAGACAATCTAAAGAGATCCCCTAAAGAATAACAATTATGATAATATTCATAAAGAACCACGAGCTGTTCTATATGATTATGGGCTGTATGGTAGCAATATGTTATTGTTGCCACTCTGCACCAAACTGTCTTGCAGGGAGAGTTATGTTGAAGAGTTGTGAGATGATATTTCGCTACATTTGATTAGATAAATCTATTGTCCTTACTTTACTCATTTACAAATGTCTTTTTTTCCACATTATTTTCTATTTCTTTTTTTCTTTTTCAACAAAGTGCTCACATTTGTGACACTCCAGAAAAGATTTTCCATGATAATCCTGTCGACTAATAAAAGGTTGATCCCCAAACGAATCTGGCAGTTTGGTTAACACTTTTCATTTTGCTGTGGGATATAAAGGGATCTGAGAGTATGTGATGAACGGTGAAAATGAACAGCTTAATATCCAAACCAAGATGGGATTCACTTTAGAGAGATGAACTTAAAGCAAAAATTCACCCCATTTATGTCGTTACAAACCTTCAGCATTTCTTCTGTTGTGTTCCACAGATCAAAGAAAGTCATACAGGGTTTGGAACGACACATTTTGGGTGAACTATTGCTTTAATCACAGCAAAGACACTGGATTATCTGGATGAATACTAGAGACATTTCGAGTTGGAAATCATAATCAAATGAGAGACAGAGAGCTCAGCAGGAATACAATGAAAGTAGAACCGCACATCCTCCTGAGACGAAGCAGAACTTTCCTTTTCTTGTTGGTGTGCTGATTTTCCTCAGCTACGGTGACCCAAGGGGACAACAGAACATTAGCAATGCAAACAAAAGTTAGAAATAGTCTGTAGCGAACCTGAAATAAACCACAATACATATAGTCCACGTCACAATGGAAATAATCAATGCAAAGGAAATGAGCCACAAATTGAACTGAAAGTGATTATATGGTATATGCTGGCTTTCTATATGTAATGCATTTATTATTCATGCTGTATGACCAATGCCCACATACACACTGAAAAGTTTCAAATGTAACAACTGCAGTTAAATATGGGAATCTGCTAAATTGTCACTCCGTGAGTCAGTCACAAATGGACATAAAAAAGTCAAAATAGATGTGCAATAAAGGAATAGTTCACCTAAAAATTTGCTGAAAATGTACTCGCCCTCAGGCCATCATAAAGATGAGTTTGTTTTTTCATCAGAAGAGATTTGGAGAAATGTAGCATTTCATGACTTGCTCACAAATGGATCCTCTTCAGTGAATGGGTGCCGTCAGAACGAGAGTCCAAACAGCTGATAAAAACATCACAATAATCCAAAATGATTGAAACATGACACATGACATAATCTACAAGTTCATCAGTTAACATCTTGTGAAGTGAAAAAAAGGCATTTTAACTTTAAACTATCTCATCTTGCTGAAATACCCGTAATACATAATTCTTAATAACGCATTCTCCAGTGAAAAATTCACATCAAAATCCAATAACATTTTTGTTTATAACCTTTCCTTTGTAAATGGTGCTTAATCTGTGCATATTTCTCTCCTGATTCAGAGAAGACGACTTTTCACCGGACAAAGCATTATTATGATGATACCAACCCAACCACTGCAATTTTGGAATACTATTTTGTTATACAAAGTCAGCAACACATGCCCTCATAATATTTTTAAATGTTGCTGCCTAATTGTTCGTAAAAAAAAAAAAAAGTGATTTGATTCTGGATCCAGGCTTGTGGCTTAATTTTTTTGCACTTATTTCTATTGTCCTGCAAACAATTTTCGTAATATTAGCATAAAAGTATCAAATTAGTAGCACAAAAATTTGCAACACAAATTAAATTAAGCTGCAACACAGCAGAATTACCTTGAATGCAGTGTTTTTACAACTGATTTTGGAAAAACTGTAAACGGTTTGCCTAGTTTCCATCAACTATCGATTGGCTACGTCAACTTGAATGGGAAAAACTATGGTTCCCTGTTTCCTATAGATTTTTACAATAGCGATTTTGGATTTAAAAGTAAAGTCAGAACTGTGGTTGGCGTTACCTGCAGAAACTTAAATTTTATTCTTCAACATAAATTATACCACCACAGGAAATTCCCAAAGGAACTATGACTCAAAAATGCTAATTCTCTTCCTTAATTTAGGAGTGCATACTTCACCTGAAGTTAGCTGGCAGAAAAACAATTAATGTTGTTTTCATCTTTTGTTGACTATTCTAATTTTGTTGAGCCCCTCTAGACCACCGTACCTTGCAGTCTGTTGTTTGGTGAGCGAATTCCCGTGTGGCCTTCAAAGAGCGTGAGAGACTCTCAGATTGCTGTATTGATTCAGAAGCTTTCAGTGAATAGCCGGAGACAGCCACTCTTCCTGGAGCGTTTGGACAGAAATTGGGTTTATAATGCTATGTCAGCCCGGTGGGTAATGGGGGAACACATTAGTCATTGTGACAGCTATATTCTCCATCTTCGTCTGAAGTGTGCAACAAATTAAGCGTCGCTTGCACATATTTATAGACGGTCTCTCGCTCAGCTGTTATTAACCACCACCATAAATAAACCTGCAGTGTGCTGAATTCTGATCTCTCTCAGAAATACACAGCTGTCAGCAACACAACACTGATGGCGTCTGAATGAAAAGAACCTGGCTGAGTTCCTCTCATTCTGTTTGATTAATCTTCACTGCTTCGGCTTGAGAACAATTTGGCTGTGATCTCAATGGAATATTGATATGCTGCGTAGTATACTGCAGTTTTATTAAAAATTGTGAAAATGTGAAACAGTATCTGAATTGTGCAACTATTATGCATTAGAAAAATAAGTGCTTCTCCCTAGTCCTTCTGAGGCTTCAAGGATAGAGTTCTTCTCAGCATTAAAACTGGAATGAGACGGTCTAGTAAGTGTGCATGGCTACGTCATAAATGTTTCCGACTCTGTGGTCATAGGACAAAAATACTATTAAAATTATAATTTGAAGAATAACATAACATTGCATAGCATACTAAAATTTAACAAGCTCAGTGTCAATCCATTTTCAGCAAATTCATTTTTCGTGAACTGGAATCTGTACCTAAAGAATGTGGGCGATTGAAGGATACACTTTATGCATCCTTTAAAACAGGCTGAATGAAGGATACGAAACGAAGACAGCCTACTAAGGATCCTTCAAATTGAGCCGTCTTTTGATGAAGCTTTATCATGTGGCAGCCTTACAAGGATGCGATCTTTCCGTTTGAGAAGCACCCATTATAAACGTTAGCATAGCATTTTAGAAATTATTTATTTTCTAACTATTATTTTGCTAACTTGATGAATACTATACAGTATACACTGTATACTGTCTACTGTATACTACACTGTTGTTACATGACGTCATCAGGTTTCAAGTGACATCTAAGTGTAGTTGTCATGTTGGAAATAAAAATTGTTATTTAGCATTTTTAGTGATATTTTGAGTAAAAATATTTTTAGTTTTTGGAAACCTGATGAACTAAAATGTCAGCAACATTACAAATGGAAAAGGTCAAATTGAGTGCATTGCATTATGGGATGCAATATTTCATGAGGTAAGTTCTGTATACTGCACATTTTGACAAGTTTAGTAGGTCATCTCTATACAAAGCATTTGCATACTGCGTTCAACATATTAACTGTATAGTGAAAAAGTAAGAGTAGTATGCTTGAACATAGCTTCACTCATGAAAAATGAGTTAAAATCAAGGCTGATATTTACTTTTCATTAGCCTCACTGAAAATGGAAGATCAAGTCAAGCACTTTGCCTTGGGTATTCAGGAATAGTAATAGTAGTATGGTAGGTAGTAAGAGCATCAGTTTTGTATGTGGACTTGTAAAACTGATCGGGTTTTACATTCACAGGCTGTTTGACTGCTCACATTATTTTCAGTGTGTATAGTTTGGTGTGAGCAATACAGATTAATAAACGTTTCATCTCAATATTTTTCCTGTGTGAGCAATAACTTTTGTTTTGGATCAGTTTGAATCCCTCTGTGTTTTCTTTCCTTTACTGCGTACATCAGAGTGTAACCCCCCCTCCCAGCTGAAACCTAATGAACCGGTCAGACCTCAGCATGTGGTTCTGAACAGAAAAACTACCGTAATTAGACCCATGAGGGGGATTTTTCTCTGAACTTCTTTGAAACCACCTATACATGACTCACAGAGCTCAGCATTCGTGCACATACTGGAATGACACCACAAAATAGTCGATTTTCAGCATAGTTTTATAAGATTATAGTGGTCAGCAAGCTGTTGATGAGATGGGCTTGTCTTCTCATTCTCTCGCTCTATTTTAAATGAGTGTTAATTCATTAAAGTAATTAATTGAATCACTTTCACAGATCAATAAACCAAGACTTGGATCCAGAATGAATTCATCACAATGGCTGTGTCCGAAACAGAACCAGCTGCCTCACTGCCCAATCGATGACTTAACGGATAGCATTTTGAATGAAGGTACCGCCTGAGGACACTAGTTTTAGATTGGCTTTTAATCTAATGCACCAGTAAATTTTAAGGAGATAACCAGGAAATAGAATCATATGTTGAAAAAAATATCAGTTAATTTCTGAATCTTTCAATGTTTTTGTTCAAAGTATGGAAATCATGAAGAATTTTAACAATTTCCTGAATTCCCAAATTCTTAATTTACTAAAAAGATCTGTCTCATAAGAGTCATTTGTTGTGTATTTCAAACTACATTTTTCCCATGTTGTTGGTGAAGCTCTTTTGTAAAAAAGATCTTATACACTGAAGCTACTTAAGGCAATATATAACTATCCAATTATATAATTAGTAATTATATCAGGGAGTGCTTTTGCATTAATGAGCAACCTCAATTACAGTGACAACACGAAATGTGAGAAGATAAATTCACACCTAAATATAACTAAGAACTAGAAAACATCCTAACTGAGTCCTGATTTAAACCATTTATATGATGTTTTATTAACAAGGTTCGGGAGGAGCATGATCAGATAATCAGTTTGGCCCAGGTGGAGCTCGTCAGCTAATCACCTTAACAAGCACATACGTGTGTATATATACAGCCAACTTACCTCAGTTCCACAAAA